AGACTACGCCCTCCCGCAGCCGCCGCGGGTGGGGGGGAGGGGGGATGGGGGTGAGTAAAGATCCCCCCCCCCTCTTGAAGTTGCTGAGGTTGAGAAATATTGATCTATGGTGAGGCAGCCTTATCCCATCTTTCTTACAACTGAAGTGTGGTACCTCTGCCTTTTTCTACGGGTGCCACTAGCAACCCCTAGGGTTACCATACTGCAGAAATCCGGACGATCTCTAGAAGGCAGCAAAGAGATGGGGTTTTCCTATATCTCTTTCCAGCCATCTAGCGCTCGTCTAAATGTGGACAGCCCAGAGAGACAAGCCCTAGTCTTCCCCAGAGGTTGCCGCGAAAGGCGGTGTGTGAACTTGTATTCTAATTTTTGTGTTATTGTATTTTAATTTTTGTACTGTAATTGTTTCTATTTTCTTTTTAACTTTGTTCGCCGCCCAGGGTCATGTGGTGAGATGGGCGGCTATACAAATTGAATAAGGAAAGAAAGAAAGAAACTCGAAGAAGGGGTGAGCACGAGACAGCTTCTCGCGCCTTCGTTGCTAGGAGACCAGAGCAGTTTTTCTCTGGGGGCAGGTAGGGCGGAGAGAAAAGGGCTCCTTCCTCTTTAAATCTGCACTCCCATGATGCTCTTTTCTGGCCTCCACGCCTTTTGGAAATGGCCGCTGTTGGTGGTTGGGGTAAAAGGGTCTGTAAAACTGGTAAGGGAAATGAAATATAGGAGGGCTTTTCCGCCTCCTGTTTTTGTGGCTTGTGAATCACTTTATCCTGCATGCGGTGACGTTCTTCTGTGTCGTTGAGATGTAGCGGCTACCACCACAGCTCTCCCTGTTGAAATTCAGACTGCATCGTTCTTTCTTTTTCCCATCTTTCGCCCACCTCGCGAAAATCCTAGCTGGCTGTAAGTTTAGGGCTGACACCATTTAGACTGCTAGATTATTCAACCATTCGTACCTCTGAAAAGCAGAGGGAATGAGGTATGAAGGAGCTTTTGACAGCGGCCTCTCTCCTGTAATCCGGAGTATTGCATGGAGTCCTTTGGAAAAGTGAGACTCAAGCAATGTTACTTTGCCCTCCACTTTATGTTAAATCTAGAATCATAACGGATTTATTTAATAGCAATATGATGCTTGTTGTTCTACTGTTTTTCTAAATCATTCTTGAAAGGTTCCCTTGTTGAGGATACTTCAGGATAACAGAAGCCAAATCTGGATTTATCTTTAAGCTGGATTTTATAGGCGAACTGTAACCAGCACCATTAATTATTCCAAAATTTAATACCAGTGAGACTTACTCAGTAGTAAGGTGCAGCCTAAACACCTCACAGAAAGCATCAGTATGAGGAGATATGATTTTCAAGGGTTTTCTTGATGGCTTTATGGTAAAAAAAGGTTTTTCCTGTGGTTGGGAATTCCTGTTGCTTCTAATCTTGTAAATGAGCATGGGACATCTCTGATTGTTTGGAAGCCCTCCTAATTAATCAAGTCTTCTTGCTTAAATGTTTTATACTCTTTGCATGAAAACAATACAAAATCATATCTCAAAACCAAACATTCTTTTTGTACTTTCCAATTCTGATGCTGAGTGCTGTGATAGCATAAGTGTACAAATGCATGTATTGTCAAAGGCTTTCACGGCCAGCATACGATGGCTGGTGTGGGTCTTCCGGGCTGT